ATAAGCCAAGGGGATGGGGGTGCAGGAAAGATAACGTGTTCCTTTGGAATCTAATACGTTTAAGGCACCCAAGGCTGAGTCAAGTTAAAGGAGCAAGCACGATGGTGATGAATCTTCTCCTGTAAGAAAGTGGGATGAGTTGGATGCTGTGGCACATGCCTGTCACCTCAGCAACTTGGGAAGCAGAGGCAGGAGGACTAAAAGTTCAAGACCAGCGTAGCCCGAAAGAGAAAGATATTTGATTTCTGAATGTGTGCTGGGCAAAGGTTGAGCAAAGGGGTCAGTCAGTGTTAGAGACAGAAGGTGGGATGATGGGTGGAAGTGAAAGAGGACTGATCGGATGCCCACCTGGAAGGATTAGTGTTAGGCAAGGGAAAAGAGGGAGACATTTATTTTTCCCAGAAAGACAGAAGGAAATCAGAAATTTTAACGTAAGAATCACTAAAAAATTTTTTAAAATAAGCCAATTGTTGGGAGACACCTAGGAAGTTTCTGGTTTAATTAGTTTGGGATGGTCTGGGGCATGGGTGGGTTTTCCAAGCTTCTCAAGGATTAGAATGTGCAATCTAGGTTGGGAATCTCTGGTTTAATTTGTAGGTAAGTTTTCAGGTTAGTGATAATGTAATTGGATTGAAGGACACTCACACTTAACAAAGGTTGGATGGAGAGAGAGTAGTAAAGACCAGATCCAGGAGGAGAAAGAGAAAGAAGTTAGAAGTGAAGGGAACTTCTAACTTAGTGACTTTCATGTGTCAAAGATATTGAAATGAATGAGGCTCAGTTCTTATTCACAAAGAGATCAGGATCCTGGGCGGGATACAAATCAGTGGTAAAGCACCCCTGGGTTCAATCCCCAGCATCCAGGAAAAAAACAAAAAACAACAACAAAAAATGATCTTGTGTGATAGAGAGGCACTTTACAACATCTCTACAACAGAGCAGAGTTCTTGACCAGTTAATAATTTTTGTTTACTTAACACTTTTCTTCCTTTTTCACTAAAAAAGAAAAAAAGCAATGTGACTCTACTTTGTATACAACCAGAGATATGAAAAATTGTGCCCTATATGTATAATATAAATTATCATGCATTCTGCTCTCATATGTAGAATTAGAATAAAAATAATTAAAAAAATTGATTTAGTAACCACACCAAAAATGAATCCATCTCTCACCAGTTATTTTGTATTTTAACTGTTTTGGGAGTATAATTCTATTTAAAAAACCACATATTTAATTTATAAAAAGAAAAAAGAAAAAACAAACCAACAACAACACCCCAGCAAGGGAACAGTTTAGACTGGGTCTGGAAATACTGTCTTAAGCCTTGAGAATGGTCCTTCTAGTCAGGTGGATTCTGAGGAAAGAGCTCTGATTATCATGGGGGATGGAAGTGTGCCCCCCCAGTTCATCCATAGGGCTGCAAGAAGATAGTGGGTGTGGCCTGGCACATGGGTTGTGGTCACTTGCACCTGGGAGGAGACTGAACTTGCTAGTTACTCACACCGAAATACTTTTTAAAGTTTCTATGTACTAAGGATTCCCCTTCCTCAGAGTCAGAGAGTCCATCTGTGCCACTGTGGATTGGGACAGATCTCCAGGACCAGCATCATCTATAGAGGAAGCAGGCATTTCTCTGTAGCCTGGGATATATATATTTTTAATGGCCTTTGGTCTGCTGGTCCCATTCCTGCTGCCTTAGGCCCATGAGCTAGTTGAGGAGTAGAAAGAGTTTTAACTGAGGGTTGCCGCAGTCTGGCTGGGCACAAATAACCGAGCCCCCACGAAGCACTTGTAGGTTCAAAACAGCCACTCTTTATTGCTGAACTCCACCAGCACTCCACGCACACTCCCCGGGAACTCTCCCAAACACCACCCAGGTGGCCCCCAGGAACACCACACACCCACCGGAACTCCCTCCACCGGGCTGCGAGCGCATTCACTCTCAGAACCCCTGAGAACTCAACGGGAACTCCAAAGTAACTGGCGACCGAGGCAGCAAGAGCCGCCCTATTACTGGTGTAAAGATCTAATATACAATTGAATCAATCCAGCATCATCTTAATGGCTCCCCTCTCAACCATTACTTCTGGCAAAATGCCAGGGGCCATTCCGACTCGGCTGTGGCTCTCAACAGAGGGTCCTGGCTTTTGGCTCAGAGAATTCTTCCCAGAGCAAGACTCCCGAAAAACTAGGAATTCCCTAAGGTACATAATAGGGAGGGGGACCTTGACTGAGAATTGACTGGGACACTATGGGTACCTAAAGGAGGTTCCTTTTAATACCTTTTATATAAATGGAATGAAGGTTCAAAGACAGAAAGAAATTTTCCTATATCTTCAAGGCTAAGGGTAATGAATTCCAAGTCCAATCTATTTCACTGGGTTTCTGACCTTCCTCTGTTATTAGTGGCTTGGTCTTCTCGGGAAAATCTTGGTTGGATGTCACCTCCCTTAGTGTTCCCTTCCTTCCTAAAGGATTAAACTAGGTCACTTGGACCCCAGAGCACATGGGCCTTCTCTTTGTGACTTTTGTTTCCTCATTCTGTGAATTGGGGATGTGTAAAATCTAGATAGGTTTTCATCCTAAGGATGAGGGTGGAGGGTAGTTCCAACCAAGAATTGCTGCATAAAACGCACTACAACCATTAGACTCAATATTCTCTTATGTCCTATGTATACCTGGTTGTGGTATGCACTCTGAATACAGCCCGTTGCCTGACACATGATAGGCACAGGTGAATGGTCCACAGAATTTATGCCTTATGCATGCAGGGACCTGGGTAACTGAAATGATCATTCTGTGTATTTCATGCAGCCTTGGTGCTAAGTGCCGGGTTTCTGTTCTCGCCACTAAAAGGCTCAGGGGTCACTCTAGTTAAACTGGGCTAACTGGACTGCACGAAATAACCACACAAGAGACACAAATACCTTTTTCTTTGAGGTCGCTATGACAGCTCCTCTGACCTTAAGGGTCCGCAGAAAGAGAGAGCGTGACCCCTTTTATTGAGGAGAAGTTATTTAAATGAGGCAAGGGGTCAGGTTTCAGGGGGCTGAGTCTATCTTCATGATGTCCACTGTTAGCAGGTTGACTGACACCTGGGTAGGCCACACCCAAGGGCACAGTAAGAGGAGGGGACACACACAAGGCACTTCCATGGAAGATTCTATCCTAAACAGGGCAAGGGGTTATATTACAAAGGAACAGGTGAGCATAGCTTCACCCATGAGGCTGTAGCAAGACACACCCATGCACGAGACACTGACCACATTTCTGTGACTGAGCACCTCAGCACCCAGCCGGGGAGTGTGACCCAGTCACGTGTAAGGTTGGTCTCCCACAGCTAAGTCATTGGCTGAACAATAACGGGTGAAGAGTGGATGAGAGTTTGAACAAAGGAGATAAGAAGTGCTTCTTTGAGCAGTCATAGTGCAGACAAAGATGGTCTGTCCTCATATTGGGACAAGTTTAGAATATATAACCAAAAGAGATGAAATTGAGTCTTGGTTAGGGAAGACCTAAATTTCCCAAACAACAGAGGAACAGGGACTGGGAATCTCCTTCCCTGGGATTTCTTAAACACAGGGTAGGAATGGTAGGTATTGAAAGCTGGAAGAGCTTGTTGAGAGGGCCTTATCCTGCTTGGGGGTTGTGTGGAGATGCTTTTGAAGTGCCACTATTCTAGGTAAGTGGCAGGTTACACGGCAATATTACTAGTAATAATATAATAATATTTCTGCTTTCACTCATCAGAGGGGAACGGGGACTTCCCATACGCCTGTATTGTAGAAGTCGCTCTTGGTGGGTTCAGATCTATTACCCACTTTATGAACCCTAGCTGGATTCTTGGTGTGTTAGGAGTTGGAAATACTCTTATGTGTGGGATAGTTTGTGATCATCTACAATTTCCGCGTAGGACCCTCAATTCCAAAGTATCTGAAACTCAGGGTGGAGAAGGCCCTGTCTGCTTGGGGTTAGGCATCCAACAGGCCAAGGCATTTTTTTCACTCTAGAAGGTTTCCTGGGAGAACAGCCCCTCTCCCTTCACCATCCAATCTTTCAGGCTCCTCAGCTCTCCCCTTCCCCCGCTCCCCCAGGGCAGGGTTCCTTTTGTAATTAATCTCAACACCAAACCAGAGGGGAGGAAAAAGTGTTAATGAGAGAGCGTCCCAGACTGACTGGGAGGTCGCTGCTCACAGTTAGAACACTGAGTAATTAAATTATTTTTGGAAGGAGGGGGGCTTTAGGTAGTGATGGTGTCAGGGAAATCCCCTGTATAAATGGGAAGAGGGATGTCTCTTGCCACTAATTGAAGTCAGGGATGACCCTCCCTTCTCGCAGCTCTAGGGGGGTAAAAAAAAAAAAAATCAATCTTCCCACGTCTCACATTCCACGGGCTTTCGTGGAGCCAGGTTTGTGGCCCTAAAGAGAAGATGGTCAGCCCCCGGGAGTCCGGGGGTCTCCCTTTTCCGACAAGGAGACCCAGGAAGACAGCCCCAAGAGTGGCTGCGTGCGGGGGCAAGGCTAAGAACGGAGGAAGCCCCCTGCCCACCGATCGGGGCCGGGGTCGCGGCCAGCCGAGGGCTCCCAGGATCTGGGAGGGCCGCCGGACACCCGAAGGCGGAGGGCTGGGGGAGTGGCGACTCCGGGAAGAGCCCGGCCGCAGACAATGGACGCAGTGGCAGGAGGGGCGGCGGCGGAGGGAACAGCCGGGAGGCGGCACCCGGGAGCGCGCGCTCCCCCGCCCCCTGCACCCCCCACTCCTGCTCCCGTCCCCTCCCCTCCCCCTCCCCTCGCCGCCGGCTCCAGATCCGATTCCCGATCCCTGATTCCCCGATCCTCGGTCCCGCCATGGGAGCCTGAGCACCCTGCATTCCCCCCCGGCCCCCTGCCCCCGGGGCCTCGAGGGGGAAAGAGGCCAACGGTCAGGGACTGAGCAGGGGGTGAGCGGACTCGGGAGCCCCCCTCGACCCCCCGCCGTCGCCGGCGCTGCCCGTCCCGGAGCGCGAGTTCCGAGCGACCCGGAGCAGCGCTGCGGATACAAAGGCGCCGGGCCGAGCCGGGCGCCCCCGAGCCCACCCGGCAGGTCGCAGCGGCGGGTGAGTGCCGGGCCGCGGGGGCGCGGGCAAAGTTTGCAGGGAAAAAAAAAAAAAAAAAAAAAGCAAGCAAAAAAGAAAGAAAAAAAAAAAAAAAAAGCAGCAGCAGCAGCAGAACCGGAGGACAATCATGCCAGGGGCCAGGGGGTGCCCGGCCCTGGCGCGAGCGGGGTGGCTCATGGGGGAAGGGGGGCTCGGGGCAGCCCCCTTCCGGTCCACTCTCCCACCGCACGGCGGAGTACCCCTCAACTTTGGGGAGGGGAAGGGGCGCGTTGGGAGGGGGGCGGAGCCCAGGCCTGGAGAGCCGGGGACTTTCCTGGGCCCGGGGCCCAGGCGGGGGCCTTAATGATCCCAGGGGAGCCGGTTGAAGCTGGAGACTAGGAGCGTGTGTTGGAGGTGGGGGGAAGGCGGTGGGGGGAGAGGCGGTGGGAGGATCGGAGGCATTGGAAGCGGGGGTGTTGAGGGGTGCATGCACACCTCAGGAGTGTGGGGAGCGGTGGGGGTAGGTATGCGTTCAGATGCAGAGTGGAGTCTGGGGAACTGGCCCGAGACCCCAGAGGAGGTGTGTGTGCAGCCCGAGGAGGGGGCTGGCAGCTGGAAACCCGGGCACGGTGCTTGGGGGCCGAAGGGACCCCACTCCTGTTTACCCCTTGAGGGGCCCTGCTTTAGTGACTTTTAAACGGTTGGTGGAGGATCAGTGTGCATGATTCTTTGTTTTTGTGTGTGTGCACGCTTTGACGTGCTGCGTGTTCCTGCAGGTGGGCCCCTGGGTTTGGATGTGTAGGTGTTTTTCTGTGTGTGTGGTCAGGGAACGATTGACCATGCATCTGCCTGCTGTACGTTTGGGTGTGTATTTATGTATATACACAGGGGAAGGGGTGTGTGTAGTGTGTGTGTGTGTGTGTATCTGTCCGGATTGCGCTGGGAGAGGGGCTTACAGAAAAGAGATGCCAAGGAAGGTGGGTGTGTAATAGCTGAATGGAATATATATGGGTAGGTACGTGTGCACCTGTGTACCAGGAAGGGGCGTGAGTGAATGAATCTGTGTTCTCTTGTGTGTGACCTGTGTTGATGGGTATCCATGTGTGCTGCTTTTTCTAAATGTGTGTTGGGGGTACCTCTTGTCTCTGCAGGCAGATTTTCCTGGCAGAAAGCCCACAGGAAGGCTCTCTGCAGGATCCTGAGGCTTCTTGCATAGCCCTACCTATGTTCAAGGGTACTGCCTGAGTATCTGATAGGGTCTCCTGAAGTGTCTGTTTTGGGAGGTGGTTTTTCTGGAAGAAGGTGTGTCTTGTGAGGAACAGGGAGCTGGGGGTTCTGGTAGGAGTCCTAGAGGAATTTGGAGATTTGGAGGAGTCAGGAAAAAAAAAGTAAGAGGAATTCTGTCCCCCATAGTCATAGGTTGGGTTCTCTGCTTGGAAAGACTGCACACTTGACTTCTCTGTTGTGCAGCCTTCTCAGGCCACAGTCCTCCTGGAAAGCCGTCCTGGAGATTGTGCTCCAACTCTGTCCTGTCTTTAGGATCCTAAAGTTCCTGAGGAGTCTGGATTTTGATGTGGAAGAAGCATACTTGGAGCCTTGAGACCAGGAGGGGATCATTTGGATTCCCTCCTCCTTGGGGTTTGGGAGGAGGTATTTCTTCAAGTGTGTGTGTGTGTGTGTGTGTGTGTGTGTGTGTGTGTGTTTATCATGCAGTTTCCCTTTTCCCTGTTGAGAAGCATGACTGGGATGGTGTCAGACCTGAGCTTGAAACAGGGCTGGTGTTGGTGTGGTGGGAAAGGGGTCTGTATTCATTCCTTGATGGTATGGTGGGGTGTCAGCTGTGATCTGGAAGTGGATGTCCTCTCCCCAGAAAAGCAGCAGATACTCTTTTCCCTTTTTTCTCTTGTCTGATTTGGGGGTGAAAGGAAGGAAGGGCTGGACATCTCTTTTAGGTGATGCTCCCTCATTGTATGCCTTAATTTCTCCATTACATCCTCTGAGCCATTTGGCTCTTGCTGCCAGGGGTTATTTTGAGACACCCAGTTTTAAGAACTGAGAATGTGATGGCACATGCCCATTAGGGTCTCTGGGCAATTGGAATTGGAATGTCTCCTCTATGAACATGTGCAATGGAATGTTCCTTTGGGGCTTCCTACCTCTACCTAAGGCCTGGGGATAAGAGTAGTGGGGAATAGAAAACGTTAGGACTAGGGATAGGAGGAGGAAAAGACCAGATTTTTTTTTTTTTAAATGAATGATTCCTTCAAACCGCACACTTATCTGATGGTCAGGGTTCTCGGGGCTAGCAAGGCACTTGCCCCTAAGATGACGTCCCCTGGCTTTTTGGTGGTACTATACGTATTTGCTCTTTATACCATCACCCCATGTATGGTAGATGTACTGGTGGGGATTGTCTTCCAAGAAGGAGGAGTTATGGTTAGACAATAGGAAGTGCCCTTTTAGAAAGTACTTCCAGATTGGGAGCCAGTGACCACATTGGCCCCTCCTTACCATTGTCTGGCTCCTGTCTGATATTTCCTCTGATTCTTCCTGGGCAAGTCTCTGGTGTGCCTCCTATTGCTCATCGGAGTTTTCTAGGTGTGAGGAAGGGTTCCCTTTTCCTTGGCCTTAGAGTAGGACAGACTTCTTTTTGCTCATCCGAGGGGAGAGATAGGAAGCTCTCCTATCCCCTCTGAGTTTTAGGGACTCCAGTCTTTTCCTTGGTGTGTTCTTCCCTTGGATCTCCCCACACCGTGAGGCCAAAGGGAGGAGTCAGACAGAGTTGGTTGGAATTAGTCCTTAATAGCACTGTGACCTTGGGCAAGTTATTAAACCCCATTCCTCAGCCTCTGAGGTATCTTAAAGCACCGTCCTCCAAGCCCAGACTGGCCAGTCCCCAGGAATCCCAGGTTCCCTTGTGGCCTCTTTTCTTGGATTTGCCTTTAAATTCAGGCACTGCTGCTTCTTGATTCTGTGACTTCAGACGAAATGGGTAACTTTTTGAAGCCTCGTCTGCTAAATGGAGTTCATAGGAGGCCCCACCTCTTAGGATCACGAGATGAAATGTCCTTTGCATAATACTTGGCACAGAGGAAGCACTCAGTAAATGTTAGGTGGGATGGCGTGGACTCTGGCTATGGTAAGGGAGAGAGTGCTTGGTCCTAGGATGGTTTGTCAGGGAGATATGTATGCCCTTAGCTGGATTTTTAAAAAAATCAGGCAACATTCATAAAATTAACATAAAATTAACCGTTTTAAAGTGAATAATTCAATGGCATGTAGTACATTCAGTGTTGTATACCATCCCCTCCATCTAGTCTCCACATTTTATCATCCCCAAAGGAATCTTATCTCCATTAAGTTATTGCTCCCTGTTCCCTGTGCTCAAGTCCCTGATAACCATCAATCTGCAAGAGTTACAATCTCTGTGGAGTTACCTGTTCCGAATATTTCACATAAATGGAGTCATAAAATATGTGACCTTTTGTGTCTGGCTTCCTTCGCTTAGCAAAGTCTTTTTAAGGTTCATCCACATTGTAACATGTAGCATGAATCAGTACTTCACCCGTTTTCATGGCTGAGTAATATTCCATCTTATGGATATACTTCAGCCGGATTGTAAGCCCCGGCTCTTCTGATTCCAGGCTTATTTATGACAGTCAGGCAGCCATAGAGGGAGCAGAGACAGGCACTGATGGTAGAGGCTAAACATGAGCAAGAAGGAAAATGGGGTGTTTGGTATTGCTGGATCCTGAAGTATGAAATAGGGATTTGACTGCAATTTTCCTAACTATCAAACAAAGTTAATGACCCCTTTCCTTCTTTGTGTCCTTTAGGGTTGGTAGACTGGGAGGTTTTATTTATTTGTTTATTTTGAGGGAAGGATTTAGGGGAGCCGAGAGGCTGTGATATTCTTCCTCTTCTCAGCCCTTTATAAAAACTTTTAAAATTTTAATAGAGAGTCTTCCTGGGCCTTGAACTTGCAACCTTCCTGCCTCAGCCTCCTGGCCCAGCCTCCTGAGCAGAGCTGCTAGGTTACAGGCGTGCTGCTGCTCAGAATCTTTTTTACCTTGCCCTTTCCTCTTCCCTGAGCTCCCTCCTGTGGGCCTCTACCTTTCTCTTTGTTTTCCTGGATCACTTCTCCTCCTTCTGAATTGAGGTGCAAGGTCTCCTCTGACCCTCTGCAGGTGGGCAGTCCTGGGCATGGTGAGATCTGGGCAGCAGAGGTGAAGGAAGAGCCTGGGAGCCAATCCCACTCACACTCTGTGCCCTGGAGCCCACCCCTTCTTTATCCTGCTTGGGCAGCCCCCTGTCACCACCTCTGCTGTGACCTGGATAGAACTGCAGTGGGCCAGGGAGCATCTCTGCATCTGTTTCCTCCACCCTGCTTAGAGTAGAGGAGAAGGAGGCCTCTGCGGTGGGGCCCTTTGGAAATGAGGTGTTCCGTGCTCGTCTCTGCCCCTGGCAAGCTGGGTAATTACAGACGAGGCAGCTGGGAACTGGAATCAGCAGAGCCAGGGCTATCCTGGTAATCAGGGTGGGGCAGGGAGAGGGGAGAGTGGGAAGAAGCTGGGGGCTGGGGTGGGGCGGGAGGCCAGGGGCCCCCTTTCCCCTGCCGTTCTGCACACAGCTGGGCTGAGAGCCTGGAGGAGAGTGGGAGGTGATTAAAGCCCAGGCCTGGCCTCACTCTAGGGAAGGCAGGAAGAGAGGGGAGAGGCTGGGGGATCCAGCAGCCCCCAGGAAAGAAGCAGAGGGTGAGAAGAGGGATTGGGCTGCTTCCCTGGTACCCAGACTTCAGGTCTGTTAGGGAGGAGCCAACTCTACACGCAGAGGTGATTCCATCTCATTTTGGGGTGGGTCTTCCTTCTCACAATTAGAGGCTATTGAAACAGGAAGTAGACAGAATTGATTGTGCAGCGCTTAAAGGTGAAAGAAATAGGAACTGACATTTTATTTTTCATTTTGGTACTAGTGGTTGAACCCAAGTGTCTTCACCCTGAGCCACAGCCCCATCCTTTTTC